AGACAAATCAAACACAAAGATGAAAGAGACAAGAGTTACTGCCCTAATACAGCTATGGTGTGGTGGGGATAGGGCTCTCAAAATGACCCATTTTAAAAACAAATTACAAAGATCAATGCAAACACTCTGAGCATAGTTTCGATTATATTGAGTAAAAGACTCACTAGGGCTAGTGCCTTAAATGTCTATTTAAAACTAGTGTCCATAGATAATGTGCTGCCTTAAAAGATTGTTAAAGGTGTTTGAGCGTGTACCCGGGGGTGCATATGTCTGTGTGACTGTATTTTAGACATGCAGATGGAGAGGTCCAGCTACTTCTGTCCTTCCTTTCATGTTTTCTTTACTTTAAATTGTGTTTAAACTGCTAGTTACGTTTGCCCATGATTGTGGGCCACACAGTCTAGAGCCTGAGGCAGCTCTTCGCCACTGTGCTTTCATTTTAGTCTGTAAACATTTCCTGAACATCTACAATGTGTCATTAACTGTGAAGGTGTGCCAGGAACCCTGGGTTGAATTGGTCAATGTCCCTGCTCCTGACAAGCTCCCAGCCTGGGTGGGGGTGGGGGGCGATTATTAAAGAGAATAGTGACCAGGAAGTGCGGCAGGCTTGCCTGGCCCCCTGGAGATGCTTCAGGAATCCAGGTTTCCCACTGCGACCTGCCTCTCTTTATGCAGTATTCTCCCTGGGCCTCTGTGTTTTTCCAGGGGTCTTGCTTTAGTACCTGTGTACTATTATCTGCTAAAGAAAATGCCCTTATAGCAAAATTTGACTTGAATTTTAAGTCTCATTAGGAATTCTCACTCCCTGGAGACCAGGACTGTTTGTATGAGTGACAATTACTAGATATTTTATATCCATTAGCACGTGAGGGATGTGGCAGTATGTTTAATAGATAAAACTAAAGCTCACAAAGTGAAATAACTTGCCCAGGGTTGCATATTTAGGTGATTAGTAGAACCAGGATTCAGACCTGTCCTGAGTCCAAAGCCTGATTAGCATTCCACCCCCGCACTTGTGCCCCACAGGGGCGCCTGTGGATGCCTTCAGGGTATTGAGGATCCTGCGTAAGAAGTATCTGATTTGCCTATAGGAAGAAATAAATGATCAGGTACAGAACTGGTACTACCTTCTTTCTTCTTTGACTTTCTGGCGTCTGACCTCAGATTTGCTTTTTTGTTTCTAGGTATACACTCAACACGTGGCACTGTGCAGAATGGAGGGACTTCCGTACCCCACCATGTCAGAGACAATGGCAGTGTGCTCTCACCTGGGCTCCTGCCGCCTCCTCCTTGTGGAGCCCAGCAGGAACGACCTGCTCCTTCGTGTGCGGCTCAACGTCAGCCAGGACGATGTACTGTATGCACTGAGGGAGTGAAGGGCCTCACGAGGAAGGACTGTGATCCTCTCTTTTCAAAGGGCTTCTTTCCTCTTTCTAGGCAGGTGGAAATGTTGTAGCAAAACATACTGAATGGGAATGGCTGTCAGGTATTTTGAAGTTTTCCATTAAATAATTTCCTTTTTCTAGAGTGTTTGAGAAGTTTACAGTCATTACAAATGCCAGATTAAAAGACCAAACCACCCCTCCAACAATAGGCCATCCTTGTGATTTTTATTTTTTACCCCTGCCATTTATTTAATGGCAACATGGTATGCACACAGTTATGTGTATGTATATAAAATAGTTGTGGGAGAATAGATAAGAAACTGGTTACATTGGTGACCTCTGGGAAGGAACTAGATGGCTATGGCCAGGCTTTAGAGGAAGACTTACTGTAAGTCATGTATCTTTGAACTTTTGAACAATGTGAATGTAACAAAATTAGTTTACAAAAGAGAACCGCTGCTTGGGATGCCTGGGTGGCGCAGTCCATTAAGCGTCCAACCCTTGGTTTCAGCTCAGGTCCTGATCTCAGGCTTGTGAGATCAAGCCCTGTGTTGGGCTCTGTGCTTAGTGTGGAGTCTGCTTAAGACTCTCTATCTCCTTCTTCCTCCGCCCCACCTTCTCCTACTCTCTCTCTCTCTCAAATAAATAAACAAATACTAAAAAAAACACAAAAAACAAAACTGCTGGGAATAATACCAGCGATAAATAATCCCTATCAACAAATAGATAGAAAATATAATTTTTAAAAAGTTACTGTTGGGGCGCCTGGGTGGCTCAGTGGGTTGAGCCTCTGCCTTCGGCTTTGGTCGTGGTCTCAGGGTCCTGGGAACGAGCCCCACATCGGGCTCTCTGCTCAGCGGGGAGCCTGCTTCTCCCTCTCTCTCTGCCTGCCTCCCTGTCTACTTGTGATCTCTCTCTCTGTCAAATAAACAAATAAAAAATCTAAAAAAAAAAAAGTTATTGTTTATCATAAAAACAAATCTTTAAATTAAAGACTTAGGCACAGAAAATACAAGATACCAAGAAATAAGTCTAATGAAGGAGAGGTAACCTCTAAATACAAGTCTGTTTCAGTCAAAATCTTGGCAGGGCTTTTGTGTAACTGCAGTTCTCATATTTACATTTCCAACCAACAATATAACAGACATCTAAAGCCTCCTTATGTCAGGCACTGAGAAAAACACATCACCTGTGTAATAGTCCTGCCAGAAATGTTTGACCCGAATCTACTGATGAAAATTTTCAGAAATCAAAATTGAGGGGGAAAATATTATGCAAAGCAACTGTCCCTCTTCAAAAATATCAGTATCCCAGAAGACCAAAAATCCATGGAGAAACTATTCTAAACTAAAGGAAAATAGAGAAATGAGACCTAAATAGCTAAATGTGCCATGTGAATCTTGACTGGGTCATAGGCTTAAGAGATGCAAACAATTATAAACATAATTAGGGACCATATCTTATATCTTATGTAAATACAAAACTTAGTGAGTGGTAAGTTATTGTGGTTATATAGGAGAATGTCCTTGTTGAAATATTTATGAGTGAACTGGAACATCTGCATATAGTTCTCAAATAATTCAGAAAAAAGTATTATAACTGCATATAATGGAGGATCAGTGTTAGTAAAGGATTACACAATAAAAAGGAAGAATGAGTGAATAATTCATCTACAGAATAAGACACATGAAATGACCAACAAAATGGAAACATAGTAAATGAGGCCTGCAAGTCAAAATCCTTTCCACGACCATAGGGAACAACTGGAACCCAAACGCTCCACTGACAGGAATGTAAACCGAAACTACTTTGGAGATGATCTGGTAAAATTTAATCTGGAAAATGCAGAAACCCTATGAGCCAGTAATCCCACTCCTTGGTATAAGCCCTAGAGAAACACAGTGCTCCCCAGGAGTTGTGTACAGGAATGTTCATAGCACTTGCCATTGGGAAAGTGGATTATTTCCACACTTCTGTTTTTTTAAGATTTTATTTATTTGACAGATCACAGGTAGGCAGAGAAGCAGGCAGAAAGGGGGCGGGGTGGGGGGGGGAGCAGGCTCCGTGCCAAGTAGAGAGCTCTATGTGGGACTTGATCTCAGGATCCTGAGATCATGACTTCAGCCGAAAGCAGAGGCTTAACCACTGAGCCACCCAAGCGCCCCTATTTGCATACTCTGAAATACCACAGAGAAGGGAAAATTGCTAGATGTGAATGAACCTTACAGATAGAGTTGAATAGAAAAAGAAGTTGTAGAATATATGTAGTGATACCAATGATACAATGTTACAGCTTGCAAAAAAATGCTGTAGATAGTAGAAATAAGGGAGTCGGTTTGTCTTTGGGCAAACGGTTGCAACATGAAAGGTGTAGGGTGGTTTCAGCTGTATTGTACTGTTTTTTCTTAAAATCGTGGTAGATACCTATGTATTTATGTCCCTTCACACAAAAAATAGGAAGTATATATTGAGTACCTACCAGGTACCATGCAATGTTCTAAACACCGGAGATAACTTTAAGGACAAATAGAAATGTCTGCCTTCGTGGAGCTTCCATTCAAGCAAATATGAGATATTGTATATCTCTTTGTATATATTAAATATTTCATAAAACAAAACTTACTAAAAAGAAGAAATATGAGAGCGAAACTTAAATTTTAAATGGTAAAGAAGACCTCTTTGAAAATGACCCAAAGGCAGTAAGAAAATGGAAAAGTCCTTTGCAGAAGTTCAGGATTAGGCGGGAGTGCGTTGGGGCGTTTGTTTCAGGTCAAGGTTCTCTGTATCACGCCTCCACCCGCCATTTCATCGTCCTAATCTCTTCGTGTTAAACTGTCTGAAGTGACTTCATGAAGAGGTGCCATCAACACTGCCTGTCTTAGGTACTCAACCTGCCTTCTCACTAGAAAAGATACATTCATGGGGCGCCTGGGTGGCTCAGTGGGTTAAGCCACTGCCTTCCTTCGGCTCAGGTCATGATCCCAGGATCCTGGGATCGAGCCCCGCATCGGGCTCTCTGCACAGCGGGGAGCCTGCTTCCCTTCCTCTCTCTGCCTGCCTCTCTGCCTACTTGTGATCTCTGCCTGTCAAATAAATAAATAAAATCTTTAAAAAAAAAAAAAGAAAGAAAAGATACATTCAATTGCTGAGTGATTCAGAAACAAACGGTGACCCCATTTTCATTTCTCTAGACTCTATTACAAAGACAATCCCCGCGCAGCAGGCTAGCAGGGGCAGAGGCTGCGCCAGGCCCGCCTCCACGCCGAGGGAGCGGGGCGAGTGTGAGCCCAGAAGCACCGTAGTGGAAATGAGGGTGGAAGCTTGGCAGCGAAGTTGTAAATGTAGGGGCAGGGGACGCACCTACTGCATTTGCGCAAGCAGCGGCACACCCCAAAACCGCCCAGCTATCGTCTCCGCGAGCATCGCGTTACCTGCCCGAAGGCGCCTGCGCACTGAAAACCTCACGCTTCGAGTCACCTGTTGAAGGTCACGCCCACCTCGTTTTGCGCATGCGTATTGCGCGCCTTACGGGCCGTGGAGTCACGTGTTAGAGCGCGAGCCGTCTCCTGCAGGGTAGCTTCCTGTCACGGCTGCTGCCCGCGCCGCCGCCGCCGCCGCCGCAGCCGCCGCCCGGGGGCAGCGGGAGCCCTGGGCGGTGCCAGGCGGGATCAGGCCCAGGCTGGTTTCGGATCTGGCGTGAGGTATGCAGCGTACCCAAACCCCGGCGAGGGGAGATACAGGGCTGCGGGGGAGATGGAGGCGCTGGGGCAGGGCGGCGCGTCCTGCGGCGCAGCAGTGGGGTCCCTTGGCTTCGCCTCCCCTGCGCCCTTCGCTGTCTTCTCTTTTGAGTCCCGGCCCAGCACCGACGCTCCCTGCCCGAAGCCTTGGAGCCGCAGACTCGGCCTGTCCGACCTCGTTTCTTCCCCGAGTCCGCTCATTTCGAGCCCCCGGCTCAGGTGACGGCCGGCCATTCCCCTAAGTCAGCGAACTCTGACGGCTGGAGTCACCCTGAGCGCCTCCTCCCGTGCGCCCACAGCCAGCTAACCTCGGAGCCCTGTTGATTTTACCCTCTAATTGTGAAATCCAGCCGCTTCTCTCCATCCCCGACGCCACCCCCGCTCTCCCCTCCGCTCTCCACGTTCACGGGGACCGTTGCGAGATGCTCGGTGCCAAGAAGGCTTCCAGCCTCCTCTTTCCGTCTGCAGCCAGAGGGAGGTTTCTCAATTGCCCATCTGGTCCCGTCACGTCCACTGCCCTCACGCCGGTGCCCAGATCCTTAGACTTAAAGGATTTCCCGTTTTGCCTCCTGTACGGATTGTCAGCTTCTTATGTGCTATTTCCCGTCTCACACTTTTATGCCCTAGTAATCCCAGGTCTTTAGCTTCTGCAGATCAAGTTGTTTCTCAGTTCGGAACCATTATCAGGTTGTTCCCTCTGGAATTCCATAACCCTTCCTTACCCCCAACTTTTTCATGACTCAGCACAAGCATCACTTTGTCCATGAAGCCTTTTCTCTCTGCTGGATAAGTGGCGGCTCCTGGGGATACAGGGCCCCTGCAGCAGCCCTGTGTGGTTTTAGTCCATTGTCAAGGCTGTCTCCACCATGTAAGTGCACTGTGAGGGCTGAGACGGTGTCAGAGGCATTCCTGCTCTTGCAGTGCCCAGCACACATTCTTTCACATAGTAGGTCCTGTGAAAGGTTGTGAGATATCTGAATCAGAATGCTGACTCAGATTTCTCTGGAGCAGAACAGTCCAATAGAACTTTCTGTGGTGATGAAAATGTTCAGCTGGCCAGTGGAAGCCACTAGTTGAACTGGATTTTAAATTTTAATTTAAAGTTGCCACATATGGCTACCATGTTTGACAACACAGCTTTAGAGCCTTTCTGAATCCTATCCAGCCTTGCACAAACCTGGTTCCTGAATCTGCCTTCCTGTGCCGCTCCCCCTCACTCAGGCTCTTGGGTTTAATCCACATTGGTCAGTCAGATTCAGTAAGTTCTTACTGTGTGTCCACACTCTCCACTTAAACCCATTAACAGGTGGGCCCCATCCCTTCCACCTCCCATGTTGCTTGCACCAGTGCTATGATTCCAGTGACAGTATTCCATCCTTTGGTGTTCAAGATTGCCTTTCTTCTCTGATTTGACAGTTTAGGAGCCACACCCTACCACACGTGGTGCTATTGGGGGTGGGGCTTTGTAGCCTGCTCCAGTCTGAGTCTCTTCCCCTCGCCATCAGACAGGTACCTAGGCTGTCAAGATGCCAGGGCCAAGACCTCGGAAAGGACCCCAGGCCAGTGGCCAGGGTGTGGCAGCTGCAAAGCAGGTATGGATATTGCCTCTTCCACTCCCAGGCCAGTCTGGGGTGGAGGGCTCTCTAGATGGCTTGATCACCTGTTTAGTTTCCCCATTAGTCCAGAGATTTTGAACAGTTCCTCCTGGAGTTGGGAGAGCTGTTAGAGACCCTCTGACTAGCCCCTGTCACCCTCATGTAGGGGAGGAGGTGTGAACTCTGCTGTGTTTCAACCCAGGCACCCTCCTGCCGTTGCCATCTCCATATGAGTGTTCTGAAGGGTTCAGGAGCCACAAAGTTTAGGGTGTTCTGGTGGGGTGTTATCACTGTCATGGGTTTCTCATTTAGGGCCATGATTTTGCTTGCCAGCCAAGGATGCCAGAGCTTGAGAACTGTGGCCACTGGAAGAGTTTTACTACTTAGGGACACAAGGCTATGGCCCAGGTGGGAGACAGAAATCTGCCCTCCAATCTGCTCCTTTTACTTCTTCTGGGCCCAGGGTCTCAGACTTCTTAGTCCGTTTTTATTGTCTTAAAAGAGGTGGGTAAGGGAGCTTGTGGAATAAAGACTGAAATCACAAAGACCTTTATTTTAAATGCTGTCTCTGGCACTTATAAGACTGTGTTTCAGTTTCGTCTGAGCATGGAAATAGAAATAGGGCAACCTTTTCCTAGAGTAGTCAAGTTCTTAGGGACAGAGTAGAATGGTGGTTGACGGGGTGGTGGGGGGAAGGGGAGTTGTTGAATAGGTGAAAAGAGTTCTGTGGATGGCTGGTGGCAGTGGAGTACAACAGCATGAAGGTACTTAATGCCACTGAACTGAACACTGGGAAATGGTTAAGGCGAGGGGCGCCTGGCTGGCTCAGTTGGTAGACCATGCAACTCTTGATCTCAGGGTCCTGGGTTCAAGCCCTATATTGGACATAGAGCTTACCTTAAAAAAATGGTTAAAGTGATAATTTTTATGTTACATGTGTTTTGTTTTTTAAAGATTTTATTTACTCATTTGAGAGAGAGTGTGTGTGTGCAAGAGCCGGGGGTGGAGGGAGTGTTGCAGAGGGAGAAGGAGAAGTAGACTCCTCACTGAGCAGGGAGCCCAATGTGGGGCTCCATTCCAGGACTCCAAGATCATGACCTGAGCCCGTGACCTAAACCAAAGGCAGACCCATAACCAGCCAAGCCACCCAAGTGCCCCTTGTTTTCTTTTAAGGTTTATTTTTAAGTAATCTCTACACCCAGTGTGGGGCTCGAACTCACGACCCCGAGATCAGGAGTCCCAGGCTTTTCCAACTGAGCCAGCGAGATGCCCCTGTTATATGTGTTTTACCACAATTTAAAAAAAAAAAAAAAAAAAAGAAAGACTTAATGTCTCAGGGTTATGGGAATTAATGAAAATAATCATGTAGAATGCTAAGTACATGCCTGACAGCTAGTACTCATCTGGTCTGAGTAATAATAATGGCAATGGTAGTCTTACTGGGTTGTTTACAGTCACTAGGGAGATAATTTTCACAAAGGCTAATGTAGGCTTCATTTTCCCTGTCCTCACCTTGGGCCTCACACATAATGAAGGAGCCTAAGACTGGCTCTGGGACTGGTCCTCATTGTGTGGTTCCTAAGAACCCTTCTCTCCTCGCAGCTGGGGCTCTTTGTGGAGTTCAGCCCTGAGGACATGCTGCTGGGGATGGAGGAGACTGAAGATGACGGAGATCTTGAGGCTGAACTGCTGGCCCTCACTGGGGAAGCAGGGGCTTCAGGCAAGAAACCCACAACCAAGGGGCAGGGTGAGTTTGTGGCACTGGGCTGGCCCATTGCTGGGTCCAGATGGGTTTAGGCAGATGGTAGAGAGGGTTCTCTCCTCACATCTGGGAGGATGTGAGATCACCTGGTCCTTCTGATATCCATCCTTCGGCAGCCCTCCCACCAAGAGGCTGTCTTGCCCTGCTCATACACCTGTGTGATGGAATCTCAGTCCTCTGACTGTGCCTCTCCACATTATGGACAGTCAGCAGTCTGATTCTCAGACAGACTCACCTCTCTGTCTTAGCCCTAGCCAAGGCCCATTACAGAGGAGGAGCTCAGCATGGACCACACTGAGCACATAATAAGTGTATAGAAATTGTGTTGAATGAATAAGTGGAATCCCCCTCCCCAGCCTGGAAGAGGGCAGAGGCCTGAAGCCTGGGAGGATCTGAGCGTCCCACCTTTGTTTTAGTGAGAACCACCCCCACCATCTCGTGCCCCTGAGATGAGGACAGTGGGAGATGCTGGGAAGGGCATCACTGGTCAGGGAGACCCATGGCCCTTACTTCTCTGTTGGTCCAAACACACTTTGGAGTTAGATGAGCCTGGGTTTGAATCATGGCTCTGCCATTTACGAGGATTGCAGTGTGAGGGAAATTAACATGGATATTATTATCAGTTCACTAATATAAAAAGGGGATAGTATTACCTATCTTGCAGAATTATCATGAAGCTCCATTGGACGTTAAAAATCTTTACATGTGCTAAAAGTGTGGTTGGGGAATGGATGGACAGGTCTATGAATAATTATGACAACAAAAAATGCCAAGAAGGGAGCATTCCCAGGAAGCTTCCCCACCTTTTCCCAGGGTCTTTTGAGCTGGGTCATAAGGAAAAGCAGGAATTTTCCAGGTGGGACTTTGGCTGTGGAAGGGAAGGAGGATTCTATTTGGGTGTGTCTTGCTGGCACAGTGGATTGAACACCCTCCTCATGGACCTTTTCTGCCTGCCCTGACCCTCTGTGACCCTCTTCCATCAGCCCCCCTGCCTATGGCCCACATCGAGAAGTTGGCTGCAGACTGTATGCAGGATGTGGAGGAGGAGGAGGAGGAGGAGGAAGGGCTGGAGGAGGATGCAGACTTGCTGGTGGGTCTGCCACGGTATCTGAGGGCTCTGTGATCAAGCCTGTGGAGGAGGCCTGGGGTTTGTTTCTGCATGTGTTCTGAGGTTGAGTGAGTGCCTTGCCCTTCTTGGGCCCATTTTCCTAACTGCAGTGTGAGACTGGTCTTTTTTGATGTCTGGTCTGAACTATGCATTCAGAGATTTTTCAGATTGGGAGTTTTCACTGTTTTGAAGGCTCTCCTTGGTCAGATTGAAGGAGTGTTTTGGTAAAGAGGACGCAGTGATAGGCACAGTGACTGATGCTGGGAAATACTGCTGGGGGAGAGGGTCCTTTATTCTCGTATGCTGTCATGGGTATGGCTCTGTGGTTCCCAAGCTCCTGAGACTTGTGTCTCCCCAGACTGAGCTGCAGCAGGTCCTGGGTGCAGATGGGGAGACTGGGCCCCTGGATGGTGATAAGACAGCTAGTCCAGGTGGCTCTGAAGAGGAGAAGGGACAGGAAGACACTGAAGCTCCAGTACAGACAGCTCTGCTAACAGCTTCGATCCCAGCAGCTCAGGTAAGTTCTGGAGGGATCCTGTGTGCCTCTGATGCCACTTTGTGTCTGTGTGTAACGTGCACGTTGCATGGCTTGCGTTGGAAGGCTGCAGTAACCCTTTCCAGGGTCCTCCTCCAGCAGCTTCTCCACGCAGAGGCAGAACATGAGAAACTGCTTGGTGGCTGGCCAGCCTCAAAGGCCTCTCTGTTCTCCCAGACCACCCCCTGCAGCCGTTTCCTGGCCTCCACAGATTGTCTAAGCCTCTGTGTTTTCCTCTGACATGGCCTCTGGCCTCTCCAGTGCATCTTTGCCTCCCACCTTGAGGCTTTTAGGCTCTTCCTTCTCCTTGAATCCAAGAGCTCCATTTTCTGGGGCAGCTTCCTTGCAGGGAGGGAGCAGCAAGGGCCTAGCTGGCCCTGGAGTGGCCATGCCCTGAACTGAAGTATCTACAGGCTGGAGGGCCTCGGGGGCTGCAGGCTCTTCTGGAGGATCGGATCCACAACTACCGGGAGGCTGCAGCCAGTGCCAAGGAGGCAGGTGAAGCAGCCAAAGCCAGGCGCTGTGAGCGTGGCCTAAAGGTGGGTTGGGTCTTGCCAGAGAGCAAGGCTGGGAGGAGCGGGGCTGAGGGCACTGGGTAAAGCAGCAAGGGGGAGGCTTCCCCATCAGCCTTGTGAAGGATTCCTGGCCTGTGTTCAAGCAGGGTTCAGACTGCGCTGGCTGCCTGAGCTTCTGGTTCTTTCCCTCAGACTCTGGAGGCCCAGCTGGCTGCTGTGAGGAAAGGCAGGAAGATCAGTGAGGATGAGATTCCACCTCCAGTGGCCTTGGGCAAGAGACAGCCTGTCCCCCAGGAAACAACTGACAGGAACCCAGAGGCAGATGCCCCAGCTCCCTTCACCGTGGAGCCAGGTATCTGGAGACATTTCAAGTCCTGGCCCAGTCTCCGAAGCCAGAGCTCATGGCCTGCTTCCCCATCCTGCCACACACTGTCCATTGTCATCAGTTGCACCTACTAAAAGGTCGTCACACCACCCACACCTGTAGGCACTGGGAACCCAGGGTGTGCACCTTCTTCTTTGACACTCATGCTCCTTCTGTGGGCTTTTTGTTTCTTAATAGACAAGTCCTCCCAGATGGAGACAAGTCTCTTGGGTGGTCCTGGCATTTCTGCCCCACCTGATTCAGACCCAGACCCAGACCCACAGGCCCTGTTGTTGGCTCGACAGAGAGAGTACAAATTGGCTGCCCTGAATGCCAAGCGGGCTGGAGACCTAGACCGTGCCCGAGAGCTCATGAGGATCGGGAAGGTATGACGTCTGACTCAAGCTCTTTGTGCAACCCCTTGTTTCACAGATGGGGGCAAGGACCTGCTCAAGGTCAAGCATATAGACTGAGCATGAGTGAGACTGGTCTGAGGGGGGAGTTTTTTCAGCAGAGAGGTTTCCAGGCTTATGCCCACACCTCCTTTTCCTACTGTAGAGATTTGGTGCCGTCCTAGAGGCCCTGGAGAAGGGACAGCCTGTGGACCTGAGTGCCATGCCCCCCGCGCCAGAGGGTCAGTATGGAGACAGTGGGGTGGGACCTGCTCAGGCTGGGATTGGGAAGTTTCAGGGCTGGGACTGGCCATGCACCTCCACCTCCACCTCTCTTCTGGGTCCCCAGATCTGAAGCCCCTTCCACAGGCTTCCAGAGCTCTCACAGCACCCTCAGCTGTATCCCCAGCAGTGGAGCGAGTGCAGCCAGTGATGGCCTCAGACACTCCAGCAGCCCCAGGTAGGATGGGATGGTGGAACTGTGGAGTGGGGACCTGGGGAGGGGCAGCAGAGCTGATGCCATCTCTTTTCTCCTTGAAGGCGTCCCTGCTGAGCCACAGACGGTGCTGGATGCCCTGCAGCAGAGACTGAACAAGTACCGGGAGGCGGGCACCCAGGCCCGGAGCAGCGGGGACGAGCGCAAGGCACGGATGCATGAACGCATTGCTAAGGTGGGCCCACAGCTGCCCTGCCCTGTGTCGGCCTGTCTCCCCGGGCGGCTGCTCTGTGTTGCTGCCGCTAGTCTTTGAGTCTCCATCTCTCTGTCTCTCTGGAGTTCCTGCTGCTTCAGGGGCTCTTTTTCCCTTTGGGGCTGCTTTCTGTCTTCCTCCCCGTGTGGAGCCTGCAGACTGCTACCCACTGTAAGGCCCTCCCTTCCCTTGTAGCAATATCAAGATGCCATTCGAGCACACCAGGCAGGACGGAGGGTTGACTTTGCCGAGCTGCCTGTTCCTCCAGGTGAGTGGGGCTCGGCCTAGGGGCTTTATGAGGAGGTCCCTGAGCAAGATAGGGGCAGAGGGAAAGATTTTCTCTCCTATCTGCCTCCACTTTGTGGAAGCCATCCATCCCAGCCATGGCCAGAAGACCCAGCTAAAGCCCGCAGCAGCCTAGAGCTTCCCCAAGGCCACCCTCCCCCTCTGCTAGCTGTCTCTGTCTTGCACAGGGTTCCCCCCCATTCCTGGCCTGGAGCCCACCACGGGCACCGAGGACGACGCAGTGGCAGCTACTTTAGCAGCTGCCCAGAAGCTGGTTTCCGCAGAGGATACAGCCCCAGCAGAGGAAAAGGAGGATGAGGTTTGGCTGAGGGCCTGAGACTCCAGGGGTTGGTTGGGGGGAAAATAACAGATGAGGGATAAACCCAGACTTGTTCATACTAACGAGCCCAGCAAGGTAGGTAAGCTTTCTAATATTTTACTAGGAAAAAATCGTGGCCAAGTGCACGCAGCTAGGAGTTAGTAGAGCTAGATTTAGACCAGCGTCTTTCAAACTCCAGGGCCCAGGTTCAGTCCCCATTACCCTGCTGTTTCCTACTGGGAAGGTTTTGAAGCTGCTTCCAGCTCTGAGATTCTCTAGGGTCCAGGAGGGAAAGCCATTCATTTCAGGTTATACAGCAGGTTAGTGCAGCATTAGGCAGAGAGCCCAGGTCTGGGAGCTGCCACAGCCTGGGCAGGGAGCAGATCCCCTTTGACAGCTTCCTGGGCACCTGCAGGATGAGTCCCCAGCCCAGGCCCCAGTGGCCAAGAAGCCAGCGAAGCCTGTGGTCCCTTCGTTCCGGGCTGTGCCTGAATCCAAGGCCTCAAGTTCTAAGGAGTCAGTGAGTCCATCTGGTGAGTTGGGAAGAAGAGGGCTGGAAGGGTGAGGGCTCTCGTGAGGGACAAGCCTGGCTCTAACCATTGTCCCTTATCCTTTAGTGCGGGAGCAGCTCGCATTGCTAGAGGCACGGAAACTGCAGTACCAGCGGGCAGCGCTGCAGGCCAAGCGTGGCCAGGACCTGGAGCAGGCCAAAGCCCATCTGAGGGTAGCCAAATGCCTCGAGGCTCAAATCACCCAGGTACGAGCTGGCCGACCTGTGGACCTCTCCAAGGTGAGTCTCACCTCATTGAGCAACAGGACTTCTCAGGCAGAGGGGACATTTGGCAGCCTTGACAGGGAACGAAGCAGCTACGTGGAGGGGGTGGGGTACAGCTAGGATAGGGTGACACCTGAGAAAGAGCTTGTTCCTTATACTACTCTATCCCATGGCCCAAGAGAGGCCAGGGAAGGCCAGACGGGCTGCCTGTGGTCAGAGGTGACAAGGCAGGGCAAGGCTAGTGGAAAGTGGAGCATTGTGGCAGCCTGGGATAGAATGGGAGGCAGTGAGTTCCCATCACTGGAGGTTAGCACTGGGGAAACATTTAGTTTAGATTTTGCGTTTGTTAGGCTCAGTAGAGGAATAATCTGACTCTTGGGGCCCCTGAGGGGCCTTGTGACCTGGGCAGGTGCCTTCACCCTTGACGGATGAGGAGGGTGACTTCATCCTCATTCACCATGAGGACCTGCGACTCTCCCAGAAGGCTGAGGAGGTGTATGCCCAGCTACAAAAAATGCTTCTGGAGCAACATGAGGTCAGTGGACTGCTTGTCTGTCTTCCGCTTTCTCTGCCCACAGCCCCTTCAGGGAAAGGTGTAGCGCACAGGTCAAACAGGCCTGGATTCAAATTCTAGTTCTTCTACTTATTGGTTGTGACCACAGGGAAAATACTTTGAAGATGGGAGCAAGAGAGAAGTGTGAAGGAAGATGGATGTGTGTGTGTATTTCTGTATGTGTATATCTGTCTGAACTGTTGCCTTTAAGTCTGTTTCTGAAGTGATGTTTCTGTTAGGTTTTGAGGGAAGAATAGGAATTTGCTAAGTGAATTCTGGGGAGTGGCTGTCCTCGAAAGAAAACAGCAAAAACTTGGGCAGAAAGGTGTGATAGAACTTGGGAACAGTGGCCTTGGAGTATGTGCTGGGGGAAGGAGGGCTGAGGCTACAGAAGAAGGTTGGAGCTTTCAGAAATCAGGCCTCAAATGCCAACCTAGACAGGCTTACTGTGGGCTCTGGAGTCACCCTAGGTCCTTATTTTCAGAAGTGTCTGCTGTTCTCCAAGCAGTTCATGCACCAGGGCAATGTGGCTGAGACTACCAGGTAAGTGCCAGGCCTGGGCCTGGAGCTTACTGGGTGGGGAGGAGAAAATGAGCCCTGCCATGTTGATGGGTCCACCCATCCCTGTCAGGTTTGAGAATCTCGCTCAGGACCGCAAGAAGCAGCTTGAGATCCTGCAGCTGGCCCAGGCCCAGGGTCTTGACCCTCCCAGCCATCACTTTGAATTGAAGACATTCCAGACTGTGAGGTGCCAAAGCCTAAGTGAAACTGTGGCTCCATGAAGGGACAGGACTGGGGAGGAGTGGGATGTGGTTGTCCGCCTGGGAGAAGCTCAGAGCTGTGGTGGCTGTGGAAGGAACTTCGGACTGGGGGTCACGTAGGTCTGAGGTCTGTGTATTGGCTCTGCTGCTGTTCTCCCAGACACGCTTTGCTTCCCTGGGCCTACTCTCCTGACCACCTCCCAGTGAGGCAGGCAGGCAAGCAGGCACTGGAAGAGGGGACCTTTTCCTACCACTCTCCTTCACTTTGTTCTTTTCTTCTTGGTTATAGGATCTTCTCAGAACTCAACAGTACAGAAATGCATCTGATCATTGTCCGGGGAATGAACCTCCCAGCCCCTTCAGGTAGTCCTAAGGCCTCGTCTGCTCCAGGCTCTTGCCCAGGCACTTCACCCCTGGCCAATAGAGAGGCACTGGCTCTCCCTTCATATCAAGCACAGGGCTCCTGGCTCCTCCTCCTGACCCCTTTCTTCTTCACAGGGGTGACTCCTGATGACTTGGATGCCTTTGTGCGGTTTGAGTTCCACTACCCTAACTCGGTGAGGTTCAGGTAGAGGTAGGATCCCCTGAACCCCCCCTTCTAGGACCCTGTGCTCAGTTTCTCTGCATTGGGAGGTCTGGCTGCTGGGAAGGGTTTGAAGACCCTTGAGTACATCCCTTACAGGGGGCAGTCACTTCCCTCAACACGGACTTATTTAGCCTAGAGCTCTTTGCCCTATAGAGCAACTATAGGACTTCTCCCACCTTACTGCTTTAGGACCAGGCTCAAAAAAGCAAAACAGCTGTGGTGAAGAACACAAACTCTCCAGGTGAGAACTGCTTTCTCCTCCCGCTCGCTTTCATGAGTGTGTGCAGCACTTTTGTTTTCAGAATGCTTTCGGGTCTTATCTTAGTTGGTTTACTCAACTTGGGAAGTAAGGCAGTTGGGGAAACAGGCTCAGGGAGGTAGAGGAACTTGCCTAGGGCCCCACAGCAAGGAGGTGGTAGAAATGGGACTTGGATCCAAGTTCTTCACATTTTGGTAGAATCTGTGTCTAATAAGAGTGCAAAAATTGTGTGGGCTTCCAAGGCCAGGACCTAGAAACTCTACCACCCTCTGGTGGCAGTTACTCTGAATTGCAGGCAGAGAGTGGCGGGGGCGGGGGGGGGGGGGGGTGGGGGGTAGGCCAGCTGTGAGCCTCTGTTTCCACTTCGTCAGGAAATCTTGGGAGCTCGAGCCACTTCTTGTCTTCTTCCATTTTTGCAGAATTTGATCAACTCTTCAAACTAAACATCAACCGAAACCACCGGGGCTTCAGGAGGGTGATCCAAAGCAAAGGAATCAAGTTTGAAATCTTCCACAAAGGGTGAGGCCCTGGTCAGTTATGCTGCCAGGATGGCTGGAAGGAAGGAATGGCTTCTGTTGCTGCCCCTACTGCTTCTCAGTTTTCCTGCAGTGGGCCCAGTTGTCTCAGTGCTGCCTTCTTCCCTGCTCTTCCTGGTCTGATAATCTGTTGATTCTTGGTTCCCCAGATCCTTCTTCAGAAGTGATAAGCTGGTTGGCACAGCCCACGTGAAGCTGGAGCGGCTGGAGAATGAGTGTGAGATCAGAGAGATTGTGGAGGTAGGATGGGCAAACCAGAGGGCTTGGCAAGTAAGAGCCAATATTCATTGAACAACAGTCCCTATTGTAGGTTTCTGGTGCCCATTCATTATAAGACATGCATAAAAGTGCTGTAGACTAGGCAAGGTACTCCCTTGCCACAAATGTAGAGATCGACAGGGTTTGAGAAAATTCCATAGCAACACTGGACAAGTAGTAGTGATACTCTTTCCGCAATACTCTGAGTCACCTAAGTTCCCAGGGATGGTGGATTAGAGGGGTTTTAGGGATCTGAGAGTTGCTGTCAATTTCGCATGCACAAATTCCTAGGTTTGGTGGGGGCAGAGTTGTGTTTGGGGCAGTTGTCTAGCAGCGTGATGAAGTGGAACAAGCTCTGGGCATAAAGCTAATAAGTAGTTCCAGATTGGGGACCCCTCCAGAATGTAGGTAGTCTGTGTTTAGGAATTGGCTCCAGACAGCTCCTTAAACTCATTGAACTCACTGAATTTCACAGGCAGGGGCTCTGAGAGCTTGTTTCTGATGGGAGGACACGAAGGTCCAGCGAGAAGTGTGTTCCATAAGCACATATATTCATGCCCCTGGCAGGCCTCAGCCCAGATCCTTACTGATGCCTTTGTAGGCTGGGGCTTTCCCCACGACGTGTGCCTTCCCCCACTCCTGGCCTGTCTCAGGGGAGACGTTCTCAAGCAGAGCCTGCTCTGTATTGGTCCTGCTGCAGGCGGGTGGGCTGCTTGAGCCCGTAGCACTGTTTAGTGCTGCAGCTTCCCAGGCTCAGGCCAACAGGGAAAGCAGTGTAGTGGGCGAAAAGAAACTCTTTGCCTGGGTTCTAGTCCCAGCCTTGCCCCACAGTGGCTATATAACCTTACCACTCACTTCATTCTGCACTGTGAAGTGTGGGCTTGGGCTTGGTGGTTTTCAGGCTGTAGCTTGAAGCCAGACCATTTTTCCCAGGAGCTGCCATGGGGAAACTGAGTGGACAGAGCTCTGGGTTTCTCATCTCCAGAGCATTGATTTTTAGTCAGACTTACATGTTACTTTTTGTAAGACAACCTAAAACCACCAAGAAGCAGGACTGCAGGGTGGTCGCAAAATGGAGACTCCTGTGTCGGCACTGCAGGACACTCCTTCCTCTCCTGACTTAGGAGCCTAGGGAGCTGTGTGCTCCCAGCGCCTGCCCCCTCTTAGTCACCATTTCTCTCTCTGTGGTCTTCACAGGTCCTAGATGGAAGGAAGCCCACTGGAGGCAAGCTGGAGGTGAAGGTGAGGCTGCGGGAGCCTCTTAGTGGCCAAGACATGCAAGTAGTCACTGAGAACTGGCTGGTCCTGGAGCCCAGGGGCCTGTAAGGTGGGCAGCTGCCTGAGTCCTTGAACCTCTGCCCTTAGATTCCAGTATTCCCTTTTCTCTCATCTGTATGGATAACCAAGAGGCAAAACTTGGGTAGGGCTTGGGATAAGTTTATCATGATCCTCAAGAGAACTGGAGATCCCAGATCTGTCTGCAGGAAATCTTCTCTAAACTCTTCGCATGTTCACTGTGGTTTAGACTTACTACATATGCTTTGTGCCCTTGTGCAGGAGACCATCCATCTCGGGAGAGGAGACAGGCCAGCGACTGTGTGCGGGAACATACTTTTCCCAGGCTTTGTACATAAGGAAGATGCTGCTACACAAGCACCAAAGATCTGTGAAGTATGTGCATTACTGATCACACAGCCCTGGCCTTTCCTGTTGCTGGCCCCTCCCTGGGCCTCCACCACAGCAGGCTGGATTCCAGGAGTCCCTTCCCCCTTCCACTGCCTCCCTTTCCAGCAGGGCAAAGGTAGCCTCATTGCTCTATGCCATGGAGTCTTCTGTCCCCTTAACCTTGTGTAGCAACTGTGTGTAGCTTAACCCCAGCCCCCAGTTGCAACATTTTTGGATGTGCCTTTAAAAGATCTAACTAAGGGATGGGAGAACTTGAGGGTGATCGGGAATGCCCCCCCAGCCTAGGGTGGGGGCAGGGTTCCGTGACTCCACTTGGTCAGTGGCAGCCTGTCCCACTCAACTCAGTTTACCCCAGCTGTGCCTGTGCCTTGGTTCCTGACTGCTGCTGCCCTAGCCTCCCTGCTTCCCAAAGCTCGCAGTAGAGGAGGGAAGGGACATTCGGGAATGTGATGCTGGGAAGTAAGGGCAAGGATGCATCTTGGGTTTGGTCCATGCACCTAAGACTAAATGACTGTTAACTGGAAGAAAAAAAAAAAAAGAAAAAAATATAAATATATAATTTTATCTAGCTGTTTTTATTTAAGAAAGTAGGTGTAATTCATTATGGGATTTTACATTCTATATGCAGAGTAACTATCAAAGTCCTGAATAAAAGCTCTATTCCCTGTCACCTTTAAAAGGCAGAGTGGCAGTAATTGTTAATTGACAGAAACTGCTGCTGTGGCTTCCTCTCTGAAGGAAGCATAGGTCTTCTGCTGATCACCTACAGAAATACCTTAGTTGCTTCCCAAGAAACTCTCCTTTGGCTTTTTCTGAATGGATGGAGACAACGGAGGGGTTTGTAGTTACAATAGATTTAGATTTAATATTCAAAACTGCAATATTCTACATGTCTTAGAAATAAACATTTTTTTTTCCTCTTCCTTTTTTTGAAGCATTAGGTTCTACAAAGCATTCCTCAGTATTTTTTAAAGGCTATGAGTGAAGCAAATACATTCAGCTCACTGGTCACTATGCATAAGCACAGCTCAGGGTCTGAGCTGTTTGTGTCTTTCCAGGATAGGGCTGGACCATGCTTCCTGCCTTAAGAGCAGAGCTGTTCATGGGTAACAGAACAGGAATGACAAAGGACTTATTTTCTAAAAGTTTTCTGGCCAGTCTTACTTACCTATCAGTGAACTACCAAAATTTCTACAGATGTGAGAGCTAACACTAAATTGCAGTCATATCTGTGTGTCAAGCAGTAATCTAGATTGAAAAAGGTTGTTATTAGCCTTTACAAGGTGGCCTAGAGCAAAGAGGGGTGGTCAGGAGGATTCCTGCCCTAACCTAGTCTTCCCCTAAGGGTTTGCACCCCACCCCATGCTTACTAAGGGGCCAGATAGACAGTTGTGATTATCCTCAGAGGTTCTAACCAGGCTTAAGAGTTTTTAAATTCACACCTCTGCTGGAAATGCCCTATTCTAATTTGGTAGTAGTTTTCTGTGCCTCAGAGATTTCCCTTCACAACCTGTTTAACATCAGTCCGTTTTATTACCCTTTGCTTTTGGAAAACAGAACCTCTAGGCTGAGAAAGGCAAGACAAAGCCGCCCACTGGACTTGGAAACTGAGATTCTTAAAAGGCCTTTGTTGCACCCAAAGCATGCAGGGGTCATGGCTGGTGGGAGGAGCCTGCCCAGCTTCCTTGTCCTAAGATTTGTCTTAATGCAGCTCCCAGACATCAGAGATCTGTGACTTACGGGCAGCTGGGAACAAGTCATAACCCAAAAATTTTTACATTTTAAATTCTCTTTTTCAATCTAGTGCAAGACATAAGTTCTTCAGCATTCATGAACTGAATAAAATACGGGAGAAATTTATCTTTTTTAAAGAAATTTATCTTATTAAAAGGGCAAAATATTTGTGACCTTAACATCATTTTCCTTTCTTATAGTACCATTGTGAAACCCACATTGTTACTTCCAGATGCTGAGCATGTTTCCTAAATATTGTGGGTAGCTCCGAAAAGATCTTGTCCCTTAAGGTAGCTCCTCTTAGGATGAAACTGTGGGGCTGAAATTCGTAGAGCCAGGGAGCTTGGACCTGGTCCAGCTCCATCACAGACAGATACTTCCTTCTTAGGGCCTCCGCTTCCCCAGCTCTAAAGTGGGCATTATCATTCCTACTCCACTCCTCAGCCCTTCTGGCCACATATTGACTCCCTAAAAATCTCATTACATTATTAAATTAGAAACCACTACGACAAACATACTACAGAAACAATGTTCAGCAGATTGCCTGATGACTGAAACACATTAAATGCAGAAATTATTCCCCAGGGATTAGTTATGATAGAAGTCAGTTCATTTGGAAATTTTGGGCCCACCAGCATTCAGGAACCATAGTAGGTGAGGGAAGACACTAGATGGGAGCCTACACAGGACAAAGTCCCATATTTCTGTAGCCCTGGAGACTAACAGGTGCTCAGAATGTGTTGATAAAAATACCTAGAGAACCTACATTGCCTAACATTTGGTAAGAATTCAATCAATATTTTTAAAATATTTAGTAAGTTACCAGACTGGCAATTATTTTCTTTGTAAGGAGCTTTATAGCTCAATCTTTATGTTCTAGAAATATTTCACTTATTTAGAAATGTGGGTTTCAACCCTCTACTTTATATCATTCTTACAATATACAATTTATAGAAACAGATAAAACAAGGGAAAAAAGTAAACCAGCTTTGGTAACTTTATGCTCAACTCCACAAGATGATTTTACTAAACAAAGGATATTTTATACAATTGAGAATGGCCTTGACTATGCAGGGCCAGAGCTTGTCCTTAGTGGAATTCAAAAACTTGCACTGATCCAAAAGAAACAGCTACATGCTACATGCAGCATGTACTGAGCATGAAGGTAAACTCTCATAGGAAAACGGAACCAGCTCCTGTAGAAGCTCTGAACTTCTAAGATATATGTAGACCATACTGGATGTTATACCCCAAACACATGCCCCTATTAAGTGTTTCCTGTTCTGTCAGGTTTGGTGGGTGATGGTTCTGGGGTTCAGTCCTTACATGTTGGTGTGCTCTAGGCATCTGCTTTTTTTTTCCCTTAGAAGTTCTGAGTACCTCTGAGTCTCCGGGAAAGGTCACAATCACAGAGCTCTTTAGCTACCATCAACAAAGCCTATGGAGAGACAGAGGGTAGAATGTGAATCCTCCCCCCACCACCATGGAAGAGGGATGAACACACGTACAAGGCCAGGTCTCTGGGCCTCTGTTTGGAAAACTGCTGCTCTGTTGTAGTTCCACAGCCTGTGACTGCCAAATGCTAAGCCCAACTCTAGGTGCTGGAAAAGATTCTCACTGCCCCAGAGGCCTGCATTAACTTCTAGGGGATTTTTAGTGCTATGCTTTTAGGGATGGACTGACTCCTGTTTGGCCAGAGCTTCGAAAAGATGGCAGTGACAAAGGAGTTGCCCTAGTCCAGTATTTTCCAAACCAAGTTGTGAAATCCATTTGGTTCATGACTAAAAGCAATTTTAACAGAGAAAATGATCACATATATTACATATATTAAGGGTAAACCGTATTTTGGTTTCTGATGCCACTCCTACTAAAAGAAAGCATGGCTGATTTGAAATTTGAGGCAGGGTAAACAAGATAAGCTGAGAACATGTTCTTAGGTCAGAAAAGGAAGTGTTCAAAAAGAAAATGGTAGGAGCATATCACAAGGATGTAGGAGCTAGCTTGAAGGGGCTCTCTCTGGCCAAAGCTGAGACCATTTGAGCACCAAAATAATGAATCAGAGCTACTCAAAAAGTGATCCATGGGTCCACAAGGAAAATTAAATGAATGAATAGGAGAAGAGGAAGGGCTTTTGCTGACAGATGACCAAGCATAACTGCTAAAGAATGCCAGGAATGCACAAACTGATTCTAATTATGAGAAAGCACAAAATGAGGCATTCTCTATTAAAAAATAGGATGGGGGAACCTATACTCACCACAAATACTGATGCCATAAAGGTGAGTCAGGGCAGCTACTTGCTGAGTCTGATCCTAGGCTGGAAGCTTTACTGGACAGAAAATGCTCCGAAGGATTTGACTGGACAGATGCTAGGTTCAAAGATCCTATTAATATTAAATTGACTGAAGTTGCAGTTATGCAGGATAACATTATTTTTAAAGAATTAAACATTATTGAGGAGTATATGACTATGATATATGCAACTTATTCTCAAATGCCTTAGTCTAGGGAGAAGGAGAAAGAGAAAGCTAGAGCAAATGAGGCAAAATGTTAATATGTACATAGGAGAATCTTGGTAAAGTGTATGTAGGGTTATTTTATCTGCAATTTCCTTGAAAGTTTAAATTATTTCTCAATGAAATATTTTTAAAATGCCTCTAGTGTAGAACTAAAACTGCCTTGAGTGTATTCTGTCAGTTTTCACAGAAAGGCCCACTTCAATGCCTGCCATTCACTCGGACAGATGCTGAGCAGTCCTGAATTCAGCTCTGCTATCCCAGTGACCTCACTTACACTGAGTCGCCCTCCTTGGATGGAAGAGATGATCCACTGGATCTCTGATTCACTTCAGTGAATAATCTGATAAAAAACAAACAAAAATCTAGGTGTGAATTCTACGTGAAGTCACTGTGATGTAAGTGGGACAGAATCAGTGTGGAAGTCTCCTTTTTTGTATCAATTCTGTACAAAGATTGCAAGACCAATGCTTCTTTTTTTTATTTCCCCTCTGCCCTCCCAACCACATCCTTGGTGATGGTTGTACCCACTTGAGCATTTCTGAGCACAAGACCATAAGTAAATCTTAAAAGAGAGGAGCAGGATTTTTGTCTACAGTAATGGAAGGGGTTAGCGGCAAGGATAGCATAACTTGTGCAGTAACAGAAGCTGCCCAGATCTTCTTGGTGGACAATGCATAGAAGACTCAGAATTATGGAACATCTGTCCCCCCGACCACCCTCTCCCACCCCTGCCCCCAAACCCCCACTCCCACCCCACCCCCCCTATTTAATAGTGTTAACAAAAGCTTAATCTTCCAGTTCTAAAGTGCAAATGATTTGGGTATGACTGCTGTTGCAACAGGTCTGAACAGAAAAACAATGAAGTCCCCTCTGTCTATGCGATGTTTTCCAGAATATAAAAGATGAGTTCCATGACGATGGGGCCCTCACTGAGCTGGCAGGCCCCTCCATGGATCACCGGCACCAGAGCGCTGTCCAGATCATTCATGTATTGGGAGGGAAGGGGCTGGCCATTGCTTCCTGCTTGGTAGCCAACCTACGGCACAGAGAGAAGGGGATGACAGGTTACTGGACAGAGAAGGCTGGGGGCCAAGGAGGCTGAGCTGGAAAGGAGATGTCCTTGGCCACGGGGTAGACACAGCAGTGAACACAAGGTTCTCCTTACCTTCCCTGAATTGTCATTTATTATCAGCCCGTCATGTATTCATCCTAACTTCGCCACTGGGTAGCTGAGACCTTCGGCAAGACACTTAACTGGTTAAGGCCTTAGTCTCCCAGGAAAGGGCAGGGGGCAGCACCCCCAGTATGGAATGTCCAGCAGTATGGGATGTCAGAAACGATACCTGAATCTTTGGTTGTGGAAATTAAAATGAGAGATATACAAGGTACAACTAACTCCCTAACAGCAGGACCTGAACATCTGTTC